ATGAGACAATTCCAAATGAAATACGTTTCAGAATGGAACGGGAAAGAGAAAATGATGAGAAGCAGGAAACAAACAAACAAATTATACGTTCACCGGTTTGCAGAGGAACCGCAGCGACGGAGCCGCGGCGGCCGCATCGCCGCCGAGCCAACCGTTTCTCTCGTAATAATCGACGCAGAACAAGGAGAGCGAGAGTCGCTGTACCTGATCTTGGAGAGTCCGTACGCGGGGGACCAAACCGGAGCGATTCAATCGGGAGAGGACGGGACGAAGGCAGAGCATGTAGAGTCTCTTGTAGCCGCCGAGAGCGAGGATGAGAGGACGGACGGAAGAGAGAGGCGGAGAGGAGACGTGACGGAAACAGAGATGCTCCCAGAGCGAATCGTCGTTGCGAGCTAGGGCACACCAGAGACGGCAGACGCAGGCGGCGGCGCAGAGGGAAGGACCGTCGAGTCGCTTGAGGATTTCGGTGAGGATATCGAGGTGATCGTTGATTGAGAATTTGATTTTCTTGCTGTTGTTCTTGCGTTTGGTATCTCCCTGTGGTGCATTTGGCTGCATGATTAACCTGTTTCTTCTTCTTCTTCTTCTTCTTCTTGATTGATTGATTGTTTCAATTCCTCGATCGAGAGAGGGATTTTTGAAGAAAGATGAACAAAGTAGAAAGCAACTGCCTAACTTAGCAGATTGTAAAATAAATAAATAATAATAACAATAAAAAGAGTAAAATTTGCGTGTTTGTTGGGCTTTTGCAGTCTAGCCACCTGGCCCAATTAAGTGGCGTGAAGCATTTTTTACTCTTTTTCTTAATTTTATTTTTACATTTTTTAATTTTCTTTTCATTTTTTATATAATTAAAAAAAAATTAGAATGGATATAAAATGATTTTGGAGGGAGAGAGAGGTATCAAAGATGAAGAAGATGGCGCCAAAGGGAAAAGTTGATGTAGCAAGGAAGTGGAAGAAATGAGGTGAGAGTTTTGTTGTTGTGTAGCAATTTAATGGAAAAGGTTTATCGGGTTCAGCGGATTTTCTGTTTCTTGTTCTTGTTTTATATTTACATATTCCAAGATCTTCTTTCGATTTGACCTTTCTTTCTTCCTTTCTCCAAAAAGAATCACTGCCTTTCAATGTTTAGCCCACTCTGTGTCATTGCTTCTATGATCCACGCATGGAAATTGGGATTGCTCTCTGAAACCTTACTGTTTTTGCCCATTTCTTCTCATCATAAATGGTAGGGCCATTAGGGTTTTACTCCATTTGAAATGAAAGATGAGTTCGTGTTTAATGTTTGCTTGCTTGCTTTCTTTCTTTATTGATCTTTAGGTTTAAATACTATTGATTGTGTTCATTCTGGTTGCCATTCTTTCGAATTGTAAGCATTTTAGCCCACAATAAGGCAAAATTATGGTTACATCTTATGGATGAATCATCGTGCTAAAATGTTGATTAAAAATGAGATAAGAATGTGAGTGAATGGACCAAATCAAGAATGTTTCGAATGTTTCGAAAGCACACGAACCAAAATGAATAAAAGTTGAACTATATGAAGACTAAAATAGATATTTCGACTTAACTCTTGAAAGTATAAGAATCAAAACAATATTTAAACCTTATGTTTATGGAAAAGAAATGGAAATAGAAATGTGTTCATTTATGTTTGACATAGGTAGGATGAGGTTTATATTGGATCTTCTTATTTTGGTTAATATTGCTGCGTGAATATGGCTATGGAGGGAAATACAATTCAAATGGTACTGAAACTCGAGCCATTCTGTAGAGATTTTTGCTTATAGTGAATTTGAGATGCCTTTAAAACGTTTGTGAGTCAAACATTTCTATCCAGTGCTTTGTGTGCTGTGCTAAAAACACTTCTTACTATCCTAAAAATCTATCATAAACTCACTTTTATTCTACAAAGTGGAAAACTAGAACTTTAGCATCTCTTTTAATGGTTTGTCCTCCTTGTCATCTTTCTCTTTGGTCGTGCAACTCTGTAGATCCTCAGAAACCATGCTTCCTTCCTCTTGATTACATAATTCCCAGCCACCATTCCAAACACTACCCCACAACTATATCCAATCAACACTATTTTCCAACCAAAATTGAACATAGACGCTTCATCATCTTCCTCTGAGGTTGAAGATGATAGTTCCTTGGCCTCAGATTCCCCACATTTCTTCACCAATGGCTTCCCACACAATCCTACATTGCCCTCATACGAACTGCTTTCAATGTTGTTAAGCTGGTTCCCTTCTGGTATTAGACCCGAGAGGTTGTTTTGGGAGACATCAAAAGTTGAAAGGAAAGTGAGCTGAGCCAGTGTCTCTGGAATCTCCCCTGAAAGCCTGTTGTTTGAAAGATCCAGAGATTCAAGCTGTGTTATGTTACCCAATGACGATGGGATTTGACCACTGAGCATGTTGTGAGACAGATTGAGAGAATGGAGACCCTTTAATTTGCCGATTAGATCCGGAATTTCGCCTTTGAATCTGTTGCTTGAGAGATCCATACTGGTGAAAGCCTCTTGAATCTTGGAGAAGCTTCTCTCATACCCTTTATTGATTATGGTGATTGAGTAATAATACTCGAGTGCCCAAGCATAATTTGCAAAAAAGAAGCATGTACTGTTTGCTTTCATATATGTTGATTTGGTAGTTGGGGTAGTAATCTTCATGGCATTCCAATTACTGATGCTTTTGAGTGGCAGGTCACCTGATAAGTTATTATAAGAGAGATCAATAACACGCAATCTCGGAAAGTCATAATTGGTCTTCGGCTCTTTGATAATCCCGTAGAATCGATTGGATTGCAACATGAGAAGGCTCAACATTGGAAGAGCTCCCAGCCAAGATGGGAAAACGTCAGTCAGTTGATTGTAACTGAGGTCTATATTCTCTAGCATTTGACAGTTTGCCAAAGATCTTGGAACTTTACCCTGAAATTGGTTCTGCCTGAAATCAATGGCCCGTAGATTGCTTTCGCCGATGAAGGTGTCAGGAATGCTTCCATGAAACATATTATCGCTCAGTCTCAGAACTTCCAAAGAACTGAAATTCCCCATACAACCGGGAAGCAGGCCACCAATGGAGTTGCCAGAAATGTCAAGGTAAATAAGAGAACTCAAGTTGCAGAGTGAAGAGGGAACACCATACATTCCTTCATTTTTTATTTGGCTGATATATGCAAGACCCAAATATGCAAGTTTGGTCTGCATACCAACCCAAGACAGGGTTGCATCAGTGAAATAATTGGAGGTGAGGTGCAGAAAGTTTAACCCAGTAAGATCTTTGAAGGAAGAAGGAATTTGGCCACTGAACTTGTTTGAACGAAGGACTAATATCTTGAGGTGGGTGAGGTTTCCAAGTGAAGGAGGAACAGTCCCCGATAAGTTGCATCCTGCTACATCAAACACAGTCAAGGAATGTTGATTTCCAATTGAATGTGGTATTTTGCCAGTTATTCCTGAGTACTCGAGGCATAATTCCTCGAGCAAATTGCTTGAGTTGAATTCAGGAAGATAACCGACGAGATTCGGATTGTATGGTATTTCAAGTATCTTTAGTTTCGGAAACTGAAATATTTCAATGGGAAATCGACCCCACAAGCCGCAATCAGACAAGCGAAGGGATTCTAAAGAAGATAAATTTGCCAAGTAATCTGGGACTTTGGATGATATGTCAACCTTACTAAGACTAAGATGCTCAAGTTTAGTGAAGTTTGCCACAAAACTATTGAAATCAGGATTTCTAAGTTTCAACAACCTTTCTCCCGAAGAGACTTCGATATTTTGAGACAAGTCTAAGGCCAACAAGTTGGACAACTTAGAGATTTCAGCTGGGATTTGTCCTGAAAATGTAGAACCAGAGAGGTTGAGAAGCATCAAGTCAGAAAGTTGTTGGATTCTTGCAGGAATCTCAGAGAAATTGAAGTTATTGAGTGCAAGGTTAAGCTTTTGAAGATGAACAAGTCGAAAGAGGCTGCTATTGGAATTTAGGAAACCATAGAGGCAATCACTGCCGAGGTCAAGACCGACCACATGCCCTGTTGTCTTGTCACACTCCACACCACGCCACAAACAACAATCATCGCTACTCCTGCTATCAACTCGCCAAGAAGCTGTCTTGGGAAATGCATGAGAACAATTAGCAGACTTGTCAAACAAAAAGCTTTCCTTGAACTGCAAAAGGGCATCCCTTTCTTCATCATGGCACAGTGGATGAGTAGAGGACAAGCAATGAGTTGTGGCGAAAAGCAAAGTTAACAGTACAGCCACATAGGAAGCACCATATGAGGAAGAAAAAGATGCTGATATCTCCATGATATACACTGATGTAATTCCACACTTGGGGATTACTTCTGTTTTATATGTAGGAATCAAGATCTTCATGTCCAAAATGTCATCCATGGATATGAGAAAAGAATCCATGGACCCCTTGACTCCGTCCCTTTGTCGATCCCATTACACGACAAGTTTCCGATGCCATGTGTTTCAAAGATAAGGAAAAAAGAGACGAAAAACAGAGCCATTCCTACTTTGAAAAGTTTGATCAAGCAAAATCTAACATCTGTAAAGTCATGAACTCATAAGTCATGGTCATTAAGCAAATGAAGTCAAGTGAGGTTTGTTGTGGTAGGTGTATGATGTTGTCTTCTACCACTTTAGTTATTGCCCAAATGCTATGGGTCTATGGATTGAACTGACTGAATTGGCCAAGAAGGTGAATCAGTCTAGGGAAAATTAGCCTAAGATCTTTCATGCCATATATCCTCTAAGCTAATCCTATATCAATTAAAACTTTAAACTAATAATGAAAACGAGACCCACTAAACTTTAGGATTTGTGAAGCCCAATTGGTTCTGAAGAATGAAGATTCAAACAGCCTTTCTTTGAACGTTGCTGCATGATGATATAAAAAATGAATAATATGTCCGTCAGCCACCAACTTCCTTTCTTGACTGTGAATTTTAAAAGATTACGTTGTTTTCCTCAAAATTTCCCTTGTTTTTTTTCCTTTTGAATGCATCTTCAAGTTGTAGGACATCCCAAATCATAGTTGAAAACTCAGCTGTTGATGGTGGGAGTTGCTGTATTTGAATCATATATACTCACTATGTTACATATATAAACAATATAGTTGTATTATAGTACAAGTTGTTCTACCTGTGTAATCAGCCAAAATTCCCTGTTCCTATTTGTTGTGTTACAACAAGAGCCCTTTTTCTACACTTGGAAACAACAAAGTAAGATAAAGCAACAATATGTCCTTCATATTCAGGCATCTGAGATACCCAATATCATCCACTCCTGGGTCTCATCTTGCGCTCCTTCATTCCTCCCAGTTTTTGGGTATTCCAATCTTGAAGGTCTTTTTAAACCATTCTTCCTTCCTTCCAAGGATGTAGTTCCCAACAATCATTCCAACCAACGCTCCACATCCATATCCAATCAAGACAGTCTTAAACTTAATCTTAAAATCAGATCCCTCATCTTCATCCTCATCAGAATCTGATGAAGGTGGCTTGGAATCTCCACATTGCTTTGATAATGGATCTCCACATAATCCCACATTCCCCACATACGAGCTGTTATCAACATTGTTAAATTGGTTCCCTGTTGGTATTGGACCAGAGAGATTGTTGTAAGAGACATCAAATATTGAAAGGAAATGAAGTTGTGAGAGTTCTGGAGGTATTGGTCCTGAGAGTTGGTTGTGTGACAGGTCCAAAGACTCCAGTCGTGCCATGTTCTTCATCAATGGCGAGATGGGGCCAGAAAGCATGTTGTGGGAAAGGTTGAGAGATTGAAGGCCTTCTAGGTTCCCAACAAGATCCGGTATCTGTCCTTCAAATCTGTTGCTTGAGAGATCGAGACTTGTAAAAACCTCTTGAATCCTTGAGTAATCTCTCTGATAACCTTTCATGGTTATTGTGGTGGAATAGAAAAATTCAAGAGCCCAAACATAGTCGAATGAGAAAGTTATAAATGTGTTTCGATATGCTGACGCAGTCGTGTTGAAAATCTTCATTCCTTTCGAATTAGTTATATACTTCAATGGGAGATCACCCGAAAAGTTATTGAAGGAGAAATCAACAATTCGTAACATGGGGAACTCTGTATTGGTTTCAGGTTCTTCGATTATTCCATGGAAGTGATTGGATCGAAGTATTAGAAGTCTTAACATTGGAAGAGTTCCAATCCAAAAAGGAAAACCATCGGTTAACTGATTGTCACTCAAGTCCATGATCTCCAAAATCTTGCAATTGGCTAACGATCTTGGCACTTGACCTTGCAACTGATTGCGACTGAAATCAAGAAACCTTAGTTTGCTCCCACTTCTGAAGGTATCAGGAATAGTTCCATGAAGTGAGTTCTGTCTAAAGTTCATAATATCCAAAGAACCGAAAGTTCCAATACATTGTGGAAGCACACCACTCATTAGATTACTCGACAAATCGAGGGCCACGAGCTTGCTTAATTTGCATATGGCTGGTAGAATTGGACGTGAGTCTCGTAACCTGTTATTAGAGAGATCTAACACAGTGAGATTAAGCCAAGGAAGAGCATCTTGAAACTCTTCTACACCCGTTAGGGCGTTGTGACTCAAGTTCAAAACCATCAATCTTTCTCTACTCATGCTCCACATCCATTTGGGTATCTGGCCTTGAATATTGTTCTCTCCAAGTTCTAATAACTCTAACTCATTCTGTTTTTCAAGAAATGTTGGAATCTGAGTTAAATTGCAGGATCCAAGTCCTAGAAGGTTGAAGTTTGGAAGTGTTTCATTTGGCTTACCTACATGATCATCAAGAACTGTCAACTTATTGGCAGTGAGGTGAAGTTCAGTAAGGCTCTCAAGTTTCATAAACATGCTCATTTCCACAGTCCCATTCAAGTAATTAGACTGAAGATAAAGGTGCTTCAGGTTCATAAGTTGAGAGAAAGACTTGGGAATTGAACCACTCAATTTGTTTCCATACAGATGAAGATCGGTTAGCTCTGCAAAATCGCCTATCCAAGATGGAATCTCACCCGTTAGTTCATTTTCACCCAGAAGTAACTGAACAAGGTTAGTCAAGTTTCCAACAGAAGGCAACAGAGTGCCACTTAAACGAATCCCAGAAAGTCCCAAGTAAGCAAGCTTGTTCTGCTTACCAACCCAAGACAAAGTTGCATCTCTGAACTTATTATAGCTAAGAAATAGACGAGTCAGCTCGGTTAGGCGTTCGAGTGACGACGGGATTGGGCCACTAAAGTTGTTTGCATAAAGCTCTAACTCCAGTAGTCCAGTAAGGTTACCAATTGTAGCAGGAACAATCCCAGAAAAACTACTATTTCCTAACTTTAAGGAAGTCAAGGACTTAAGGTTGTCAATGGAAGAAGGTAGTTCACCATGAAATGCAGTTTGTTCAAGCCATATCCTCACAAGAGAACTGTTCATGTTGAACTCAGGCAAAGAACCAGAGAGATGTGGATTGTATGGAAGAACAAGATGCTGCAAATTTGGTAAGTGAAAGATTTTCTGAGGAAAAATTCCAGTCAGCCCACAAGCTCCCAAACTCACAGACCTCAAAGAAGACATATTTGCAACAAAATCAGGAACAGCAGAAGATATATTAATGCTACTGAGACGCAGCGTCTCTAACTTAGACAACCTTGATATCGCCGAAGGGATTGGCCCAGAAAACCCAGAACCAGCAAGATCCAGCTGCCTCAAGTCAGTAAGCTGTCCAATCCCTCCAGGGATTTGGGACAAATTGAAGTTGTTGTCGGAGAGAGTAAGAGTTTGAAGATGAACCAGTCGAAAAAGGCTGCTGTTAGAGTCAATGGAACCGTACAGACAGCCGCTGGCAAGGTCAATTCCGACAACATTTCCAGTCTGGTTGCTGCACTCGACGCCGTCCCAGGAGCAGCAATCATCTGTTGTTCCACCTTCAACGCCCCAGGAAGCAACCACCGGAGGAGAGCCTAAGCAAGAAGGGTTAGGAACGAAGCTGTTCTTGAACTGCAGCAGAGCAGCCCTCTCTGAGCTTTGGCAAGTGGCGGCGGAGCATTGAGTTGCAGAGAAGACGAGGAAGAACAAGAAAACCAGACAGCAAAATGATGGCTTCATCTTCTTCATGGTGGTCGGTAATGGCTGATCTTGAGAAGATAGCAAGATGATTTTCTAAACAAGTGAAGATTCAAACCCCGATTCGGCTGGAAATCAGCGTTTTTCGTGGAATAAATAAATAAATATGTTGATTTTTTTCATAATATTGTATTCCATTTTTTCTTCAAGCGAGGAGGAAATACAGGCCTACACTCAATTTTCTTGTTTTTGAGTTCTGACTAATATGAATTATTTAATATTATGGTGTTTTCATTAAGTCATTTTTTAATTAAAATTCTATTTTAGTTTCTATAATTTAATTTTATTTCACACTGGTCCTGTTTTTAATAAACCTAAAAGAAAATTCGTGGAGTTAATTTATTTTTAATTTTATTTTAAAAATTAACTAACTTTATAAATTTTAGAAATATATGCAGGTGGTCGTGTTTTTTTAACTAAAAAATTATTATTATTTTATTATTATTCAAAAGTTAAATTTGGATAATTGAAATATGTAGACTTAAATGAAATTAAATTAAAAGGATAAACATTGTTTAATCAACTTATTAGATACAAGATTGAAAGTTAAAAAACTTATTAAATATGTTTTAAAGATTCAAAGATTAAACCAATACGAAGCTGAGCGTTCAGAGATTAAACAGATACGAAGCTGAGCGTTTAGAGATTAAACCCGTAAACGAGCAATTTCACCTTTCAAACTATTTGAAATTTGAGCTAAAAGTACGTATAAACAAGTTGGTCCAACTACGTAGCAATAATTGGTGGCCATGAGCCACTTGACAATATATTTAATTTTCATCCCGCCAATGTTGACTCCTTTTTAAGGACAAAAGGACCTAGTTGACCTTGCACGTTGGTGTGTGATTAAATATCTAACCTTCGTTTTCGGGTTTGACCTAAGTTTTTCAAACCTTTTGCTAGCGTCATTCGACCGAGAGAATTCATTGTATTATCCTCTAATTAAAATTGAGCAAATACTTGAAATTTGTCGAATTCTTCAATTTTCTTCATTCTCTCTCCCATTTTCACTCCTCTCTGTCCTCTTGACAATAGAGTTCTATAGCGTCTTCCATCGCCAATTTTTGATTTCCTCGTCTTGATTTTGTTGCACTAGCAACCACTATAAGAAAATATGAAAAGCTATTAAAAAGAAAAGAAAAAAAAGCGGTAAAGATCCACAAATCTCCACTTAGTGCATGGCAGAAAATCACTGCTTTCACAATGTTATTACGATAATTATAATAATTATAAAAGATTAAATAACTTTACTATAGTATAAGATTAAAACTATATTTATATATTATAACATTAATTAAAAAAACGCTATAAAATATTGTCATAATACGTATATAAGCTATACCTTCGTACTTTATTATAACATCCATCGTAACCATACAAAAACGCTAAAAATCTCAAAATTTTAATAATGCCAGCTGTCAAAACGTATGTTGGGCTTATAGGTCTAATAATTGAAGAGAATTATAATTTCACATTTTCTTCACCAATGTTGGGCTTTGAGTCCATAATTGTTAATGGGCTAAGATCTCATGGGCCTTTCTATTCTTTTCACATTTGAGAGCCCAATCCATCTTAGCTACTTAGCTTTATATATTTCATTATTTCAAGTCCACCTAAAGTCGAGAGAAAAAGGAATAAAATAAGATATTTAGTTTATTATTATTATTTTTTTAATTTCATAAATCAATCGCATTAATTAATTTATTATTATTTTTTTATGTTTAAAATATATTTATGAAAATATTTTTTCCTCGGTTTCGATGTCGGAAAACGTGAATGCACGCTTCTCTCACACAAATGTAATCTACTGTCAGGTTGAGAGGTTTCCCTCTTCTTTTGTCGATCGAGCCGCTTCCCCCATTCTTTTTGTTCAAATCTCTTCACGAACTTGTACTATCGATGCCACAAAGATAGCCAACTCGTTTTAAGTGGGATCAATTGCTATTTCGTTCTCTAAAAAAGATATTTGATCGATTCGAGATCTTGAAACTAACTCGTTTTTCATACTTTTCAAACACAAACATTTGGTACAAATAGAATTAAGAAGTCACCGTCAAAGTCTTCACAAAAGAAAAATTAACCAAAAAGTTGACGGGTTCAACCCCATTACCCAAACTACCCCTAAATCACTGGCACCACCCCACACGATAAAGGGTAATATTGTAAAAGCACTACTTTTTGTGTTCACACTGTGTTCCACAATTCATTATAAATATAGCAAAAACAAAGCATTTTTTTTAAAACACCCAATTCCACTCCCACCGGTCTTCTTCAAAAGAAAAGAAAAAAGTTTGAATCTTTGTGAAAAATTTGAAACACCCAATTGACCCAATTGGCCAAAGTCATCAAATCTTCAATCAAGTTCTTCAAATTTTGCTGATTTTCAACAATGAAGTTAGTGATTTCAGCTTCTGTGCTCTCTGCAATGGTGTTTTACTCATCTCTCCTCCCTTTCCTCCACTCTTTGAACCTTTATATCTCTGCAACAATCCACAAAAACTACATGTTCTTGCTCTGCAATGGCCTCCTTGTCTTCATCGTTCGAAACTCCGGTCTTATCAGTAGCTCTGGCCGCGAACAGTGCGGCGGACATGGCAGCAGAGAAGCTGAATCTCTAGGGGCTGCAATGGAGGATTCCACCACAATAATTGAGAGAAAAGTTGAAGATGGAGAAGAAAGGGAAAATGGGTTTATTGCAGAAGAAGAACAAGAAGAAAGTGAAAGATTGGTTAAAGAAGAAGAAGAGCAACAAGAACACGAAGAACAAGAAGAACAAGAAGAACAAGAAGAAGAAGCAGAAGAAGTTGGGGCTTTGAGCAATGAAGAATTGGACAAGAAATTTGAAGAATTTATCAGAAAAATGAAGGCAGGAATCAAACTTGAATCACAGCAAGTGCTTATTTTGTAACTAAGAATATAAATTAAAAAAAAAAAAAATCTGACTCTGTAATTTTTACTCTGTTCTTCACTTCTCTTCTATGGGATATAGAAAGAATTTTACCTTTCAAATTATTGTGAAAAGAGTGGTTTTTCTTATTGGCATAATTAGCTTGGAATATTATTACATTAATATAAATAAAAAAACCCAAATTTGCTCATACGTTCGTCGGGATGATTTTGTAAAAAAAAAAAAAAAAAACTTTCGAATTTATTTGTGATACATCACATTGGTTAGAGAGGGGAACGGAGCCTCCTTATAAGGATATGAAAACCTCTCCTAATAGACGTGTTTTAAAATTATGAGACTGACAACGATACGTAACAGTCAAAGTGGGCAATATCAGTTAGCGGTGGACTTGAGCTGTTACACTATTGTACCCTTAAAACTTCAAAGTTGATCAACATCAGTTAGCAATGGGCTTGAACTGTTACACGAATTCAAAGTTAAATTTATTTTTCTCCTAAAATATGATGACATCAACAACGCCACGAGGAAGCATCCACAAAAAAAAAAATAATAATAATAAATAAATAAAAAATAAAAAGTTGGCCTCAATGAGTCAATGTCCTTATCCAATGTTTGCTCAAGGGAAAAAAAAAATAGAATTTGGGTATAAATGGTTCCAACTCTGTAACAAATTGTGGTACAAGTAGACATGTCATCAGCATCTTTTGGGTTGGTGTTTGGTCCCTTGTCTTTCTGTTCATTTTGTTTTTGTATTTTTGTTTATGTGTCCTTCTTTGTCCCAATATGTTTGTTCCCACTCTACAAGAAGCTTCCTTTGAAAGGGTCACTTGACTCCAAATCTTAGGTCATTTTTTAGAAAAAAGACTTTCGAGTATGAACTATTCATTGGGTCAAAAGATTGATCCTATTGGTTAACATGACATAAAAGACACAATATGTCAAGTGAAGTTACAGTGTTCGTGTTGTTTCAAACAGTCAGGGTAGATGAACCCATCATTGATTTTTCAACTCTGTTCCGTCAATGATTGTTCAACTATTTATTGATGTAAGGTTGCATCTAAAGCTTAAAATTTTCATCTTTTATTTGTAACGTTGTCTTAGGGAAAAGCTCCATGGCAAATATATAACAATTTTTTAATAGTTAGTTCGTGTTTCACATATTCATACACTACATCACCCTTAAAGGGTACCTACGGCAGCTAAGGTCTGAAAATTTGGAAATATCCTTCGAGCCTAAGTGAAGATTAGCAAGAACGAGCTACCGAATATGATATAAAGAGATTGATCCTCGACAATCTAGTTTATCGAAAAGAAGAAAGAACAGTTCCGAACATGCTTAAAAAGCACATCATATGTTGGGTTAAGAGCAAAAATGAGAAGACAAGGACTTGGTTTTCAACCATAGATGAAGGGGTGAGTTTTGTAAGAAGCTTTGGGTATAATGGCAGGCAGGTAGGGACAGCTTCAAACCATTGTTGGGTAAGTGAGCATGTCTTGAGAGCATAATGAGCTGGCATTCATGCTCCCTTTTTTGAACATGGGGGAAGATTTCAACCTCACATAACATATTTTGGCTGATCTCATCAAAATCATCTCGTCTTTTAGATTTGAGATTATAATATTTAACAAGTATTTTATCTGCATATGATGATTCAATTGGCTGATTCAAGATATTCATTGATCTGATTATCTTCCCATTCTACCAAACATCTTTAGCTTTCTATGAACAAAACAAACAAGGATCAAATACCTTATTATGGGAGAATCTGCAATAATATCATGCCTTTGCCGCATGCTCAACAGCCATACCATTTTCTCCACTCCATTGCATCTGTGGAAAGGGCACAATTTACTTCAGAAAATGATTTGAGAACATGGGGTAACAAGAAAATCATGCTTCCACAGTGAAATTATAACAGTCCAAGGTTTTAAAACGTGTCTTCTAGGGAGAGGTTTCCACACCTAGATAAGGAGTGCTTCGTTCCCCTCTCCAACCAATGTGGGATCACAATCCACCCCTTTGGGAGCCCAGTGTCCTCACTGGCACACTGTTCAATGTCTGGCTCTAATACTATTTGGAACAACCTGAGTCCCGCTAGTAGACATTATCCTCTTTAGCCTAAAAGGAAAAGTCCAAAAAGGACAATATCTGCTAGCGGTGGGCTTGGGTCATTTCATTGGAACCAAACAACCAAACATACCAAATACCAGCATTGTGAGTGTGGGGGGACGCTGAGTGTCAGTAGAGCATTTGA